ATGACGGCTTTTGAACAAGCTCCCCTTTTAATCGCCTACAAAAAAGCCTACTCAATAAAACATGGTTACTTAAGTAGTTAGCATCTGTCTCGTTGATTTTCAGTGTCATTAAAAATTCAAATATACTCTACAGCAAACATGCAGAAATTATCACTGCTTGTAGAAAATTGCGCCTCATACAAACTGAATAGCTGAAGAGACCGTAGTTTTCTGTTTTAAAAAAATTGATTATCATTTTTAAGATGATGAAATGTCCTTTCATGAAATAAAGTATTCGTCAGTTTATTAATGTTGCTTCTCTTCCTCTCCTCTTGAACAACCTGCTCTACCATGCTCATCTCCGATCTGTTTTCCTTTTCAGCGTTGCGCCCATCCCACCTCAGGCAGCCGACAGCTAGGCGGTGGCCTGTTGCTGGCGGTGGCGGTGGGGGGAGGAGAGTGTGGTCGACCCCCGGTGCGTTTCGTTCCTCACTATAATGAACCTGATGCGTTTGAAACTATCGGGTGCGCGAAAAGCCGTTGCTTGAGGGTTGCCAGCTGGCGGGTTAACTCGGACACCACAGCCGGTCCAATGGGTCTTGTTGTGTGTAGTGGCTGTCTGCGGGCTGAGAGTCTGATTCGATGGCTCCTTCTTAATGTGGCCTTTATGGCGCTCCCAGGCGGGAGCCTATCTAGCGAGGTGTGCTGCTGGTACACGTGTCGACTATTGGTCGCGCCAGCCGCCTGCGCCATCGCCCCATCTCCGGTCTTCTTGACTTTTGTCTTGACGTCGGGTACCGGAGTGGGAGTGGTGAGAGAGTGGGGTAGATTCTCCGCGAGTTTACTTTCACTATAATCCCGCGGGAACCACCGCATTGCTGAGCCTGCTGAAGCACGTGGTGGACGTCGTCGAAATCGACGGTCGAACTGTCGTTTTTGTGTGTGTATGTGTGTGTGGCCAGTGGGAGTGGCGAGCGAGTGGGCAGATTCTCCGCGAGTCTGCTTTAACACTTGTTTCTTTTGCGGTAGTTGGCTGCGCTGCTTCTGCTTGCTGTAACCTTCGTGTTGCTTGCCTAGCTTGCCTCAGTTTCTGCTTCGGCCTGCTTCAGCGTCTGCAGCGGCTGGTTAGAGCACGCGGTGCCCATAGTCGAAGTCGACGGGGGAAC